ACGCCGGGAGATGTAGTCTTCCTGCGGGGGGGGGGCCTGGGCCGCCCGAGAGGAGCTCGAGGCCGCAGCGAGGGGCGGCCGAGCCGCCGCGTTCGTTACCCCTGGTCACCCACGAGCTCGAGGCTGCGGAGCGCCGGGCGGCGGTTACCTGCCCTTCTCCGCATTAGAGGGGCTTTGGGCTCGTGAGGGAGCGAGTTAGGATGGGAACGTTCAGGGCATCCAGGTAGGGCTGGTCGAGGCCATCCAGGAAAAGCCCCAGCGTGCGAGGCTGCGCCCGTGGCCTCTGCTGCACGCGGGTCTGTTTGGCTGGCTCCCATTACAGGCGGATCAGATCCACCACTCGGCCTCTCCTCCTGTGAGAGATGCGCCAGTCCCGCCATCATCATCATCGTCGGGGCCCTGCGCTGCCCTTGCTCCAGCAGCTCCATGTGTCTAACCCTGCGGAGGCAGCACCGGGGCCTGTGTCCAGACGTGTCTCCTCAGGACTGAGCAGAGGGGAAGTGTCGCCTCCCTTGAGCTGCTGGCAGCGCTCAGGCTGATGCTGCCCTGGAGGCCCTTGGCCTTCTTCGGTGCGAGGGCCCGTTGCTGGCCCATGGTCACGGGTCCTTCCCTGCCGAGCAGTTTCCAGCGCTAGCGGGTGCTGTGAACAGCCTTACTCCTGGGGCAGCACCCTGCACTTACCTTGGTTGAACTTCATGAGGTTCCTCTTCGCCTGTTTCCATAACCCACTGAGGTCCCTTTTAATGGCAGCACAACTGTCTAGTGTATCGGCCACTGTCCCCAGTTTTGTATCATCTGTGAACTTGCTGCGGACGCACTCGGTCCCATCAGCCAGGACATTAATCAAGAGGTTGTTCAGGAACGGCGTTCAACTCATTGTCGACCACCTCTGCATAGTGACTGATCTGCAGCCACTGATGACCACCCTCGGAGCTCAGCAGCTTGGCCAGTTTTCACTCTACCTCACAGTCCACTTAACTCTAGCTGCTTGTCTATGAGGATGTTATAGGAGACAGTGTCAAAAGAACTCACTAAATCCAAGATAAATGTCTATTACTCTCTTCTCATCCACTGATGCAGTCATCTCATCAGAGAAGACTATCAGACTGGTTAAGCACAACTCCCACTTCATAGATTTCTTGTCCAAGGACTTACTTGTGTCCAGCTTATCCAAGAAAGGCAAATTTAGATGTCAGCTCTTCTCAGCAAGTGATTTACTACCACAGTCTCCACTTCTGAAAAATACTCTGATAATCAGATAACTGGGGGAGAAGGGAACAGGAGCGTCCCCCATCTCTACTGCTCAAGACAAAACAGTTTGAAGGAAGCCAGGATGACTAAATAGAAAAAGTGGTGTAAGCTGGCTTTATAGCCTAGTGAGGAGGGCAGTGCCAAAAAAATATGGACTAATTCCATGCCTTTCTCACTGGCAGAAGTTTCAGTTGCGTCTTATTTGACTAGCTAGAATGCTTCCAGAATACTTTTATGCTGAAAATAAAATGCCAACATAGATGCCATGGTATTTTTAAAGATAAGTTTATTAATCCCTTATCATTCCAAATGGTATTTTTATTTTACAACACTAGAATAACTGGAATCATCTCACCATTGCCCTACAACATGAATTTGGAAACCTTGCTGTGAAATGTAATACTGATTCAGTATTCATTACAATACCACAACTAGCTACTAGCAAAGAAGGAATTTTGAAAGGGAAAACAGTCTCCTACTGTCTAATTCAGGCTTTCCAATAAAGGCAAGCCTGGATGTTCTGGAGGCATGAATATACTATTAGATTGCTGGTGTCTAGACAACATGGAGATGAGGAGGTTGCGGACAATCTGCAGTAGTATTCCCATAATTTCTTCTACCCGCGGAACTATAGACCACTACCAAGAAGCAGAAGTAAGTAAAGGTTTGATATTATCCAAACTTAAGAATTTAGGAGAAAAACTCACTGAATGACTCCTCTTCCTTTTAAGTAGTTCATCCACTTCACCATTTTACCAGAGTGCATTAGGATTCACTTCTCTGCAGAATTGGCATCAACATCAAATACAGTTCCTTTGACGAAAGGACCGATGAAGACCATACTTAGTGTTTGAGTGCTGTAATTATTTTATATTAAAATGTAATTTTGTAAACAAATAAAATGATTTATATTACAACAGCTATAATTATTTAAACTGCAGTAGAATCAGGAATCATAATGCCCTCCACAAATATTAGATGCTATATAACCACAAACTAAGATGGTCCCCAATACTGTAAATAATATGCACCAACAAATTCCAAGATGCCAGTCTCTGCCTCCATGACACAGAATTCATAACACATAACACAAACTGTGAAGGACAAAAGTTAATATCTGAAAAACTCAGGCCTGAGTTTCTAAAAGGTATTACTAATAACAAGATTTAAATTCCAAATATATACTTCACAAGCAATCATAAACCTCACATAAATAAATAACAAGTGCTATAGTAGGGGCCTTATCCAGCTCCTTTGATAGCAATAAAATAAACGCTTACTTCAGAAGGTATTAGATCAAGCTCATTTCAACACTGTTTGTGTAAGCAAATAGATAACATTCCTAGAAAACACCAGACTCACCAGCACATGTTTTCCTATGGATTTGAGTCCTGATCACCGTGTGCTCTTCCTCACACCACCTCTCCCAGTCCTGCTCGCAGCCCGGGTGCCTCTCCCACCTCGCTCCTCTCTCCCTGCGCTCTTCCCGCTGCAGCTTTCCAGCTCCCTCCCTCTCCTCTTTCTCTCCATACTCTTCCCACCTGTCCCCCATGTCGAGCCCGGCTCCATGCCGTCTCTCACACACTGGCGCTCAGCGCCACGCACAGCCCTGCGCTCTGTGGCCGCCCTGGCCCCCGCGACGCTGCCACACGAGGCCGCGGGGCTGCCTTGTCCCCGCGGCACTGCCACACGAGGCCGCGGGCCCAGCGGCCACTGCCTGGCCCCGTGTTGTGCTGGCAGAGGAGGCTGCCGGGCCGCCCTGCAGTGCCAAGGACAGCATCTTCCGTGGTTTTTCCTCACTGTTTCCCTCATTTTCCTGTTCCTGCGGATGGATGGGGCCACAGAAGGGGCATTGGGGCATTCCCTCCTCTCCCCAGTCCCCTAGGAGCTTTGCAAGTAGAGGAACTTGATATTATCAGGGACTTCCAGTTCTTCATCAAGCTTGATTAATAGTGGCCAGCTAAGCCACCAGTCACTGCGAAGGGAAGAAAGGAAAGGGCTGACAGGCGTGCACAGAGTGACTGCGGGAGTCTTGTTTCCTTAGGAGACTGATTTATAAATTATATAGACAAATAGTCAACAACAATATGTTTGCATGTCTCCCTGTGTGATTGCCTGATAGGGATCTGGCATGCTGAAAGTTAAGGAAAAGGCCTTGAGTGAAATACCAGCTTGTTTATACAGAAGATAAAAAAAACCTGACTTCTGCCTGTATTTTTTTCCTACCTATCATGTCTAATATGAAGTAACCTTGATGGCTTATCTAAGAATTTGTTATAAAATTCTCTAACCCCATCAGTCATAAAATAGTTACAAATAAAATAGTGAAAGAACAACATCTTCTCAGTTTTCAATTAAAATTTAGAATTCCCTTAAAGCAAGTCTTTACAAAACTTAAGAATAAAGACCTGCTTTCTCCCTTTACCCATGCCCCCCAATTATCCCTAGCTGAATATGCAATTAATTGAGCAAAAATTAACAGTAAATTTAGTTATGCAAATTCAGCAAGAGAGATGCAGAAAGTAAATATTCCGAAAATAGAGCTACAAATTCTGACATTCACGTTCACCCTCCTGAAATCAGTCTGATTCACAAAGATCCTATTTGTCATTAAAAAGAGTAGTAAAATAGTCGTAATAAAAATATTAGCTTTACTGCTGCAATTCTTCTCACTATGAAATACATTTCGTTTTAATATCCAAAATATTATTGCTAGAGCTAAATATATTTGTTGATTAGGATAGAATTTTTCTCTTGACTGACCATTTAACTCACAGTCTTGGTAACAGGCTATATATAGACTTACCATTTGCTATTTTTCGTATTATAGCTCACTATAGTAAAAATAAACCATGGATACAGAGTTGCTATTTACAGTTAACCACAAAAAGATATTCCAATATGTACCACAGCTGCATTGATTGAGCTCCTGGGATCTAAGGATCACCATCAACGTGGAAAAAAAAAAAAACCTTTTTGGTTTGTTAAAAAATTACAGTCACTGTTGGTAATACACAGAGTTACTCTGGATTCCCATCTACACAAAAAATATTCACCCTTTTTATAGGGGGCAACCATCTGTTCCCCAGTCTGCAAAGAAGGTGTGTGGGGACACTGGAGAGCAACGCTTCCCAGCCGAGCTTGGTGCCCGTGTTGGCAATGGAAACTGGTATCAATAACTAAAGAATGACTGAATCATCGTTACTTGATGGGAAAGTGTTACATGAAACAAGCTTCAGCTGTCTGAGCACAGAGGCACAGCAGCGACGCCAGCCCAGGCTGCTGTCACTGTGAAGGCTGCAATTTCTCCCCTCTTCCTATAGCTCCGGAGCGGAGAGTTACACACGGCAAGAATGGTAAAGGAGTATTAGGAACAGAACAGGGTATTTTCATTTTGAGGGACGACGCTTTCGAGAAGCTAACGGGACCCATTATTTCAGCTATGGGGAAGGGAGGCTGTCCCGTTCCTAAGGGCCTTGAGTGGAGGTGCTTGAGGGAAGGCATAAAGAGACAGGGAGCACAAGAGAAACAACAAACAGCAGGTGACAACTAAGCAGGACCCCATAGTCCTGCAAAGTAAATTGGGAACTGCGCAGAACTACAGAAGTCATGCTGTGAAACGCTTACAGCTTATTCTTGTTATGGTGCTTTTGTTTATAAAACCCTTCCTATTTATTTCTGAAGTGCGTTTCCAGTTTGTTTCATCAACAAATCAAGTGCTGCATTTGCAAAAGGACACTCACTCTACTGACTTTAAAACCACCAATTTTCAGCTTCCTACTTTTTTTTTTCCCCCCTCAGCTTTCCCAATCAAAACATACAAAAAAGATTATAATTTGATTCTAAATAAACTGATCACATAACATACATGGTTATATTTTTTAAAAATACAATTCTAGCCTTAAACCTTCACAAAAAAATCTCAGCAACATAATGATCATTTCATGGCTGACTCTGAAAGTAGGGTCTGATTACAAGATAAGATCCCACAGAAAGTAGAAATATACTTAAATACTCAATACAAAAAGAAGAAAAAAGAAAAAAAAAAAAAAAAAAAAAAAAAAAGGCTTTGCACTTACATTCCCATTCTGCTCTTAAAAGCAGCAGGACACCATCCTCACAGCAGCCCTCTGCTGCAGCAGAGCAACAAATAGTAAAGTTTCACGGAATTTCCTTTATAAGGTGCACTGATTTGGCCTCTGCTAATCAAGTTTAGTTTAGTTCAATAGGAGAGATTTTATGGCAGCCTCCCTGCTGCCTGAGATGAGTCCTAAGATACTGTCACATTGAACAAGAAAACTCTCTTCTTAAGACAAAACTTTGAGGTGGCTGAACATGCATGGGTCAGGCTATAAAAATCACAGTAAAACATAAAGAAAGTTACTATCTAGAGATCGTAGAAACCATATTAAATTTGAGGCCTAATGTTTTCACCTCTATTTCTTCACTAAAAATACACTTTCCTAATTACAGGCAGAAAACTAGTGGAAGATTATTTAATCTCTTTAATGGCAGAAACGAGTTTATCAACAGCTGTTATACCCATTCTTACCCAGCTGAGCTGAGCAAGAAAAAAAAATAAACAAAACTTTCTCTACAAGAAAATAAAAGAATTTCATATGCTACAAAGTTTGTTAATGGGAACAGCTAATTACCACGAGGCATATTCAGCATCTCACATGCATCAGCTTCCACCTAAAATGAATCATTCCTTCCAGTCTAGAAAACTGAGGCCCTTTATCTTCCTCGGGGTGGAGTCCATCTCCTCCCAGAGATCCCTACAGAGTAAAACTGCTAATCATTTTAAGATTTAAAGACATTACTTCTTTTGTGTCCATATATCATGTTTCAGCGTCTTCTAAATGAGAGAGCTTAATGTTTGTGTAACCTTGAATTGGCCGATACACAAGTTTTATTGCTTCATCCTTGTGCTCTCCTGTAGTTCTAAGACCTGATTTTTTTATGCTGGTGGTATTAAACTGCTCTTACCTGGATAATAATGCCAATTTTTAGTTATTTAAAACTCCTTTTAAAATGCATGTGCTAATCTGAGTATGAGGTAGATTTCATGGTAGGTTTCAAGTAGAAACTGAAACAGAAGGAAAAAAAAGCCAAACTAGATGTTTTAATTTATATCTTCTCTCTTCAGTAAGACTAATAGATATTAAATCCTTGCTTTATACAATTCGCAATAGGTAGAATATCTCTAGGATTTGATCCGAAATCTATTTGCAGCAATAGAGTCTTCCTTTCAAATATACTGCTTGGGGAACCAGGTCTCAAAACAGTCCTCTCTAATTTGCTGATGGGAGTGTGAATATAAATGCAGATTTTTGCATGACTGGTGTTTCCATCCTCAGTCTGATTCATTTCCCAGGAGGACGGAGGAAAGGTCAAAGTCAGAGGCAGATCATGTTAGACATCCCGATTTATTTAACATAACCTCTTAATAGTATGTTGTAAGTGTATTTGATTGGGAATAATTTAGTCAAAGAGGATAAAGTAAACGCATAGAAACGCTGCTCTTATTGTGGAAGTGAAACTAAGAATTTGAAATTTTAGACGCTGAGAAAAGGCACTGTTTGAGTCACAGAGACACTTACGCAATGTTGTGCTATTTGATGACTCTTTAAATGGTATGATAATTTTAAGCAAGACTATGTAGAGAAAGATTAAAGCACACAACTGTGTAAGAAAGAATACCCACAAATATCTATGGTAGTAGTTACACACAAAGTAACAGGAACAGCACTATGAATACAAATGCTTGATTTCTCCTGTATTATTGGTGTTTGATTTAAAATTACAAAATGACCTTTCAAAAACCAATACCCAAAGTTTCTTCATATGGAAAGGCATCGGATACTCAGCAACTCTTAATCAAGTGCCGCAAAAGCAAACTCAAAAAGCTCAGTTCTAAAACATACTGAATTAGGCTCCCAAGACTCATTTTTGGCACCTGTTCTTAAAGTAAGAAAGAAAGAAAAAAAAAAGTATTCTGCACAACAGTTATACGCTATTTTCCAGGAATTCAGCAATTTCTTGGAGAGATTGGATTTTCTGCAGCTTTGAAATAATAGGGTTACTGCAAATTCTGAATGGTTGCATATCTGCAGGGCTGGAGCACAGCAACCCTCGGGTGGGGGTTACTGTAGTTAACCCATCCTCCTCTTCTGCTCCTCTTTTTACATGCAAAATAAAAAAGTTTTTGCTTAATACAATATTTATAGCTATAAATAACAGTGAGTTCCTTTCTAATTTTACTGTACCAGTATGTACAAGAGATACATAAAACTATATATATATTATTGCTACTACTTCGCAGGATGTTGTGTACATTGTAAAGCTGGCTGCCTAATAGAAGGCAGCTAAAGACCTCTGCACTTAAATCTGCCAAAGCTGATACAGCAATCACAAACATGTGCTGTTACACTTCTTATGGCTCATCTCCACATGGTGCAGCTGTTGTGTTGGCTAAGGAAAATGCAGGCCCAAGGGAAACAAATTTAATTCAGCTGGGGTGACTTCCACTAAGAAAAGTGTTTTAGGGAG